GCAAGCCCCGGACTGCTGCCGGAGGGGTGACACAGTCCCGCGGCACCCCATGCTTTGGTGTTCCACTCTGGTGTTTTCACCACAGCTCAGGTGTTTCACCACCCGCCAGGGAAAGCATCACCCCTTTTTTAGGACTGCTCGGGACTGCACAGCTGCCAGGAACAAGCAGGGCTCTTTCCCCGAGCAAGGAGACCACAGCGGGCCTGGCAGGATTTAATGCCGCTTTTCATCTGCCTAGTCTGACAAGCCCGTGTCCTTTGCGCAGCAGGAGGGAGAAGGAGACAGCTGTGGGGCGGCCCGTGGGGAGGGCGCTGGGCTGGAGGAGCTGGCTTGGGCCCAGCTTACGGTACGTGCCCTGAGCTGGACACAGCTAATTGCTGTGGCCAGCGCCCCCGACCAGCCCGGCGGCGGCTGTGGGCAGGCATGCCCGGCTGCCCCAGAGCTGTGCAGCTGCCTCTGTCCCCACAGCTGCAAACTGCTCAGGGCAGCAGCGCCCGTCCCACTGGCAAGGCCAGGCCTCGGGTGGGTCTATTTTAATTAACACCCTTATTTCTGAGGCACAGGATGCATCTGTTTCCCTTTGCCTTCTTTCCGTAAGTGAGTTCCCAGGGACTTGGCGCTGGCCGGGTCATTCTCTGCTGGCTCCCCTGGGAAGCCCGACAGCCAAGTCAAACCTCTGGCAATTAGCTCAGCCCCGCAGGAGCTGCGAAGACGTCCCGTATTTCACCTGGGAGCACCCCTCGCCACTGCCAGCGCTAGCTCTGCTGTGCAACAGCTTAACCCACACAGACAGGAGGACCGTCAGCAAAGCAGGGGGTCTATATAAAACATTAGTTGCTTAATCAGGTTTGCACTAAAATGTGACTCTCCCACCGGAACCCTTCTTCAGTCTGAGTAGTAACGCAGCAGCAGCAAGCTGCAGCCGTGCCTGACCTGGCGGTAACAGGAGTTTCCTTTCTGCTGGCCTTGTGCTTCACAACCCTGCCCTTCACCACCCGCTACCTGAACTCTTCAAATTACCACATAAATACTTTCCAAGTGCCTGCACGCCACGTGATAATTGGTCATGATGACTGTAAATATACCAAAACCTAGGTCATACTACAAATTTAAAATTAAAGACACCAATGCTAGTCCCATGAAAAAAAAAAAAGTGTTAAGGGGTGTCCAGGTATGTTTGGCCATAGGCTCGACTGCTTTAGACTTCAATGCAGCTGCATGTAAAACCAATTGCATCACCCTTCTTCTTTCCAAAAACAAGATCACACTGTAGGTAAAAAAAAAATAAAATATTAAGATTCTGAGGGAAAATCATCTTGCATCTCTCACAATCTAGGATTCAACAAGAAAAGCAAAAGTAACTGCTGCTACTGACTTTTCATACGATACTGGATAGAACAAGAAACCATCACACAGGCTCTTGTGCGCCCACGCTCTGCACTGTCACATCTGTCTGCTTAAACCAGACAAAGGATTTTACTTTCATTTACTGGGAAACAAGCAAAGTGACCTCTCACAATACACATGAAAAAGAAAAACGAAAGTGTAACGAAGGCAAAACCCTACAACGCAGGCACCGTGCCAATAAAATGACTGCCTCATCCAAGCGCTAATTGTACCTGAACCGTACCTTCACGCCAACTCCTCAATAGGTCCACAGTTTTCATGGTGGCTAACACAGTACATGCCTCTCTCAGAGCACCCTGTGAGAAAACTGGAACCAAAAACCTCATCCTCAAAAGCACCACGTACTACTGTTACCAAAAAAAAAAAAAAAAAAAAAGTTTTCATATCCTGTAAAAATGGCATAGTTATGTTTTGAAAGAGTGGAAAGGAGGGAATGTCAAAGAAATAGGCTTATCAATCAGGCTTATTAGCACAGAAAATACTTTCCACAGGCCATATCTGCTCTTGTCCCCTCTACTAGGCAAGGCAGAACTGCTCTGATCCTCTCCGCTCCCACGGCGGCGGTGCCGGCACACCCCAGCGCCGCTGAGGGAGCCCATGGCTGCAGAAGAGGCTAAAGCTACAGGCACTTTCCTAAGCTGTCAGCCAGATGCATGCTGGCTGGTGGCAACACCGGCAGTGCCGGCACAAGGAAAACCACAGCTGCTGCCTGGGGTAAAGCAGGGTTTTCCCCTCAAGGCAGCCTACCTCTGTTTTCAGTTTAAATAGCCATGGAGCCATCTCCCCGCAGCACACACCTGTTCTCCTTGGAGCAGCTTGGGGCAGCCACAGAAACTGGTTTCCAGTGGACAGATTCAAGGTGTAGGCACTGACCTGGGAGCTGTCTGAAGGGAGACTTCCAGGCAGCCCATCTCTAAATATGTGTGACAAGTGCAACTTTAAATTAAAAAAAAAAAAAAAAAAAAAAGGAAAAGAGAAAGGAAAAGAAAAGAGTAACATCAAAGCCCTCCATAAACTCACGCTGTGCCAGAAGGGTGGCAATTATGCCATTCTTAACTCTGAGGCTATTTGCAAAGGAAAAGATCGGGAGACTTGGAAAGGGTGCTCGAGTGGAAGAGGTTTATCTTGCTCCATTCAGAGGAAGGGATTACAGGCATAAAAATGCCTGTCAGCTTGGAGAAGCTGGAGTCTTGAGATTTTGCCTCCAAAGCCTCAGGGCTGCAGGGAAGGAAGCTATTTTGTTCAGATTAGAGAGAGATGCGGCTTCCTGAGAGAGGCTATCGTCTCAAATTAGTGGGTATTGCAAGACATTTGTCTCTAGTGGCGTTAGCCCTGCACTGACTAGGTGCAAATGAGATGAAAATCAGGATAAACGTGTATTCGAAATATCACCTGATTATTTCAAGTTATTCCTACTCCTCTAATTTACATTTCCCTGGATGCTTCACACTGCACATTAGTGATTCGAAATGATGTACGTTTACACACAGCAGGAGAAAAATTAATGAATTCCATCACTTCCCTTATTTGGGAGACTTTATGCCTGAGATACAGCTCCCTTATTTTATTATGCCTTTTGATCTCCACAGAGTAATCTGTTCTCCCCTTGGCAGAACTGTGTAATTCTTGTTAATTTAATATGAATTACATTTATGCACTTTGGGCAGAATAAAGCCTCATTGTTTGTTATTTCTCACACATTCCCTTAAAACCAGGCCAAATTCCACCTACCTGTCCCCCCTCAGGTAGGCATGCACGCAGCACGCCAGCTAGTGTAAAATGCTGAGGTAGTGCACGGCACACGTACATGCAGCAACTAAACAAGAGGTTTGTGACAGGGAAAGGGGGAGGAAGAGCTTCTGAGATTTCCCTCCTGCATGAGGCATCGCTTACTGCATCGCACAGCCTGTGTTAGGCAGGAAATCATGTAAATAAATAATTATGGCTTTTGTTAGGTACGTCATGGTGCCGTAGGCCCCACTTGGAGCACTGTCATAAAAAAAGTGGCAAATTCCTGTGGCTACGTCTTTCTCCAAGATACTACCAGTAGCTCCGAATGATTTCTGAAAAGACACAAGGGAAGAAGTAGGAAAAGTTAGGCCTGCATGCTTATTTATTGGAAAAAAACCCCGCCACATTATGATTTTGCATTTGTGCTGAATAGTGAAAGCAATTCTCCTCTCCCTCATGAAAACCTCAATCAGAATTGTTATAGGACCCACATGACTTAGTTGGATCAGTGTAAGTAAATGAGGAACACCGTATCACTCCACAGATTTTTGTCCTTCGGGGGGGCAGGTGGGATTACTCAAATATCGGTAATTCTGATGCCTTGGTATAGCAAAACTTCAATCTACCCACTTACTTCAGAGCTTGTTAGCCACTACAATTTTATTCCCTTTAAATCTCCCACAGTTCTTAAATTAATCTTCCAAATGTATTTTCAGAAGATACTTAAGTGATTTGGTCTGTCTTTGTAGGGTAAGATCAAGCTCACCACACATATTAAAAAAGGAGCAGGGGACAATTTTCACCCGCGGAGGCTTCCCACCACCGCCCTTTGAACTCACCAGCTCCTGTAGAAACAGGTCATTGGCCATGTGCACGATTCGATCCACGTGGATGATGCCACCGATGCTGTTCACCTCGATGTCAGAGAGGAACGTGAGAACAAGAATAGCTTCCACCAAGAGCTGCCTGTACTCGGGCTGGGGTACGTGGTTCAGCACTGATTCCACGTGCACAGCAAACTTGATTTCACATGGGGTCATCTGGCAAGTTTGAGTGGAAATGGAAAGAAAAACTGACAAATCCTAAAGACTAGTTCCCCACATCCTGCAAGCACTTAAACACATGCTCCTCTCTGCACATGGGGGTAGACTGACATGAACAAAATGTTTGTGCAGCTTTAGCACTTACAGAAACTTTTTGTGTTGCTAGGCCCTGATCCTGCAAAGAGTTATGCAACTTCCAGAGGACTGCTGCAGCCCTGCAACCCATCACACACACATTTTAGCTACATACAGGACTGCTGACGCTTGGCTGGATATTAACTCTTTGCTCCTCATGCTGCGGGCTGACACGCTCTGCCTTTTAAGTATCTTTCTGGCATCGCAGGTTAGTTGCAAAGCCAAAATTACTGTCAGGTTTTAAAAATAACTACCTGCTTAGAGGGAATGCTTTTCCACACAGGGATATAGCTGCATTGTTTGTAGAGCAGCCTAACTTGCACTGGCATAGCTGCATGGTTGTCATGTGAAAGGCTGCTGCCTTACGAGGTTTGCGCTTATTCCGTTTGATTCCTATAAAGAGCAAAATTAGATACTGTCTAGGTCTGACAAGCTAAAAATATAAGCCTATTTATCTACACAATAGGCATAAATAAAGCTCTCCATTCTGCAAAAAAAAGGTTCGAATTTGGCAGAAAATGCTAGCTCCTCTCTTCAGCTGTTACCACCGTCCCTCAGAAGAGAAGGAAGCCAGAGATAAAACTGAGGGAACCAGGCAGGAGAAGTCTCAGGCACACAAGCACCTCTCTTGCACTGACGGATTACTGTTCACAAGAGTTTGTTTTATAGATGTGAATTCAAAACTTGCCAGAGTGCCTAAAGACAGGCAATCCAACTAAGGAAAAAAGCATAAGGAAAGGTTATGGATTTAAAGAGTCAGAGCTTTCGTTAGAAACAATCATCCTTAATCAGTATTTACTTTTGAGACTGTGATGCCAAAATACACTGGCCGCTGTTGCAGCATATTAAAAAAAAAAGTGGCCAACAACGTGCCTGCGTCATTCCAACAAAGCTGCGCCTTCTCCTCACCCTGCCGCAAGGACTGCCACCAGCAGTCCTTCTTCAAGTTTCTTCAAGCGCTGCTCCGCAGGCACACATGGTCAGCGAAGGCGCGCAGGGGTTAGGCTCGGCGAAGGGGAAAACCTGCCACAAACCCGCTCCCAGGCCTGCCTGGCAGGAACTCATCTGCATGGCCCCAGGAAAGCTGGCGGAGGTGCTGGGAGAAGGTCCAAGTCTTCTAACCTTCTTAAAACCAGGGATCTCCAACAGCAGCCCCGCTGCATCTTACACTGTCAAACCAAACATTCAGTCATTTTCAGTAGAAAATCATTGGCATCTTACTGTACCTCTTTGGTAGTTGAAGAAGGAAGGACATACCCATCAATGGACAGACCATGGCACTGAAACAACAACAAATTGTCAGTGAACAGAAATTACAGTTCTTGCAAGTAAATCTTGAGTGTTCTCTGATACCAGCCAATATGCAACAACGTTGTTTAAAAAAACCCAACAAAACCCACAAAAAACCCAAAACAACAACAATAAAATAAAACCTGCTAAAAATATTATTTCACCTTTGTTGAAGAAGTTATTATGTAACCTGCCACATGTTAGAAATAGCCTGTTGCTCTGAGACGTGCTGGCTACACTGCAGCCCACTTGCAGCCTTACGGAGATGAGCCAGGGGCTCCTGAGGTAACAGGAGCCAACAGGGCAACACCAGTGAAAGGCCTCAAAGGAATTAAGGGATGTTCCTCTGAGAAGGTGACACGGCTGACAGCCCAGCCGAAGTGCTTCTACACCAACGCATGTGCAGCAATGCAAACAACAGGAGCTGGAAGCCACCATGCTGCTAGAAAGCTATGACCTGGTCACCATTACTGAAACTCAGTGGGACGAATCCCATGACTGGAGTGCAGGTATCGATGGCTACAGGCTGTTCAGAAGGGACAGGTGAGGAAGGAAGGGCGGAGGCGTTGCCCTCTACATCAAGAAATAGATAGTGTGAAGAGCTGCCTCTGAAGAATAGCCATGAGCAGGTCAAAAGCTTGTGGGTAGGAAAGGCGGAGGCGTTGCCCTCTACATCAAGAAATAGATAGTGTGAAGAGCTGCCTCTGAAGAATAGCCATGAGCAGGTCAAAAGCTTGTGGGTAGGAAACAGGGACCGAGGCAACAAAGGGAATCTTGTGGATGGTGTCTACTACAGGCCCCCCGATCAAGGGGAGTCTATTGACAAAGCCTTCTCACTCCAGCTACAGGAGATACCGCGCTCGCAGGCCCTTGTCCTGCTGAGGGACTTCAACCACCCTGACATCTGCTGGAAAAGTAGCACAGTGAGCTGTAGGCAACGCAGGATACTCCTGGAGTGCATGGAGGATAACTTCCTGTGCCAGGTAACAGACAGCCCTACCAGAGGGGATGTCATACTGGACCTGTTGGTCTCCAATGCAAGTGGGGTATCCTTGCCTCAGTTTTCACTGGCAATCTCTCCTCCCGCACCTCTTGAGTGGATGGGCTGCAAGACGGGGACTGGGGGACCAAAGTCCCTCCCACTGTAAGAGAAGATCAGGTTCAAGACCACCTGAGGAACCTGAACATGCACAAGTCCATGGGACCTGACAAGATGCATCCCAGAGTCCTGAGGGAACTGGCTGATGTAGTTGCCAAGCCACTCTCCAGGATATTTGAAATGTCCTGGCATTCAGCTGAAGTCCCTGGGCACTGGAAAAAGGGAAACGTTGCACCCATTTTTAAAAGGGGTAGCAAGGAGGACCCTGGGAACTACCAACCTGTCAGCCTCACCTCTGTGCCAGGGAAGATCATGGAACACATCCTCGTAAAAGTTATGCTAAGGCACATGGAGGACAAGGAGATGATTTGAGACAGCCAGCATGGCTTCACCAAGGGCAAGTCCTCCCTGACCAACCCAGTGGCCTTCTATGACGGAATGACCACATCAGTGGACAAGGGAAGAGCTACCGATGTCATCAATCTGGACATCCATAAAGCCTTTGACACAGTCCCCCACAACCTCCTTCTCTCTAAATTTGAGAGATATGGATTTGATGGGTGGACTGTTGGGTGGATGAGGAATTGGTTGGATGGTCGTATCCAGAGAGTAGTAGTCAACAGCTTAATGTCCAGATGGAGATCAGTGACAAGTGGTGTCACTCAGGGGTCCATGTTGTGACCAGTACTGTTTAATATCTTCATCAATGACATAGACAGTGGGATCGAGTGCAGCCTCAGCAAGTTTGCAGATGACATAAAGCTGAGCAGTGCAGTTGACACGCCTGAGGGACGGGATGCCATCCAGAGCGACCTGGACAAGCTTGAGGAATGGGCCCATGTGAACCTCATGAGGTTCAACAAGGCCAAGTGCAAGGTCCTGCACCTGGGTCAGGGCAACCCCCAGTATCAATACAGGCTGAGGGATGAAGGGATCAAGATCAGCCCTGCCAAGAAGGACTTGGGGGTACTGGTGGATGAAAAGCTGGACATGAGCCAGCCATGTGCGCTCACAGCCCAGAAGGCCAACCGTATCTTGGGCTGCATCCAAAGCAGCGTGGCCAGCAGGTCAAGGGAGGTGATACTGCCCCTCTACTCTGCTCTTCTGAGACCTCACCGGGAGTCCTGCATCCAGCTCTGGAGCCCTCAGCACAGCAACGACATGGACCTGCTGGAGCAGGTCCAAAGGAGGGCCACAAAAACAATCAGATGGATGGAACACCTCTCCTGTGAGGACAGGCTGAAAGCATCGGGGCTGTTCAGCCTGGAGAAGAGAAGGCTCCAGGGAGACCTTGCAGCCTGCCAGTACTTAAAGGGGGCTTGTAAGAAAGACTTTTTAGCAGGACCTGTAGTACTAGCACAAGGAGTAATGGTTTTAAACTTAAAGAGGGTAGGTTTAGACTAAGTCTAAAGAAGCCATTTTTCACAATGAGGGTGGTAAAACCCTGGCAAAGGTTTCCACAAGAGGTGGTATATGGCCCATTTTGGGAAATATTCCAGGTCAGGTTGGACGGGGCTCTGAGCAACCTGATCTAGTTCAAGATGTCCCTGCTCATTGCAGAGAGGTTGGACTAGATGGCCTTTAAAGGTCCCTTCCAACTCAAACTATTCTATGATCCTATGACATGTAGAGAGCATGCTGTGTTCCAGTCCAGCTACTGAAGGGCTGAAAGTACTTAGAGAGCCACTGCAGCAAGAAGCACACAAAGGAGGAAAAGAAATCAATGAGAACATTCTGTGGGAAAGGATGTAGAAATAAAAGATGATGCAAAAGCACAGTAACAGACCATGAAAGTGCGAACCTTTATTTTTCATTTTTGCTAAAACATTTAGTTAAGTGTTTCAGATCCAGGGCACCACAACTTAAGGATGTCAACATGTTGTGGTGCTTGGACATGGGCCACCAACAGTGGGGGAGAGGTGGTGTTAGAAATACCAAGTGGTATTTCTAGAAAAAGAGTGACAAAACCTAAATGGTGAGAAGGCAGGCTAAGCAATGTCACTTCTGGGTACCTGAGGTGCAAAAATAAACCAAGAAGAGAGAGCCGTTATGAGTAGTCCAAAGCGAGTTTAAGAATTAAATATTGAAGGTGACTTAAATAAGCACAATTGATTTTAATAGCCAGAAAACCATTCAAATACTCACAGCTATTATGTTAGGTCAGAACAGAAGTCATGCTCGCTCTCCTGAAAGATCCCATTAGTAAATAGCCACGAGGTCATATATGACCTGTCTTGGCTGACATGAACACTAACAGCCTTCAGCATAAGTGATTTTAGAAGGACAACCAAAATCAACCTGAGCTGGTGATGCACAGGTTTTCCCAACTGTGTAGGCATGAACAGCTCAGTGCTACAAGGTGCCAGATGCTGTCTTTCATCCAGCAAAGCAGAAGAACAGGTGCATAATCACTTTACAATGAGTCAAAATTCATAATTCCCCTCTCCTCCTTCCTGGAGAGCTGCTTCAACACATTTCCATACCCTTGATCTCCAAGCTGCTGGCAAGGACTTACTTTTCATTTAAAAACAAACAAAAAAAAGTTAAAAATGCCATACAGCTCCAAACAGCCAGCAAGAGATCTCAAGACATTTTGGAAGAGTCAGCATAGTTTCCTACTTGATTCCTCGCAGCCTTTCTGAACGGGAGCACATGAACTGCACTGCATTGCAGTGCCCCTCAGCGGCACTGACCACAACTTGCACTACGCCATGGGCGATGCAAAATAGAATAGAATGGGTGGAACAGAATCACTCAGACAAAATTCAGCAATGGTGGTTTCAGAGAAAAATACGCTTTCAAAGAAACACGTGAACTTGTGTTAATGGAGCCCTTTTATGTTCAAGAAACACACTCCTACTAACAACTCTAGTTTCCACCAGTCTTCCAGCTGAAGACTAACTGCAACTCCCGGCAACAAACAGCCTCTGGACCACCACCTCCCCAAGTTACCGTACGGCTTGCTTGCTTCCTGCCCTCCTGTCAGGCTTACCTTCTGAAGGATTTTCCACACTTGCTCATAAAAGCCAAGAGGAACTCTGTTAATAGCACCATCAAGCCTCCTTCTGCGCAGCCACTGCCCTTTTCGGCCACCCCAGCTCGTGTCTCCTTTGGAGCCTGTAGGAGAAGTACTCGTAGGAGACGATGGAGTACTGCCCCTCTGTAAGAAACATTAAAGCCTTGGTTAGCTGCTTTCTGCCACCCCAAGTGCTACTCCTGGTGAATACATCGGTCTGTTAAAATGCTGCCTCAGAATCGGTGAAAAGATACAGGCCACGATGCCATACAAGATGACAGAACAGGACTGTTCCCTTTCTCTCCCCTTCACAACAAGCTTCACTGCTCCAGTACTTCAATCATTTCTCAAGAAAACAGGCAAGCAGTTCAACAAGGCATAACCCAGTAAACTTCACTGCTTGGTTCATGCAAGGCATGGCTATTTTAACAAGCATGAGTTGGCTGCCGGGCAGTGTCACTGGTGTGCAAATGGTGGGATTTGCTGGTAGGTCTGACTTGGACTTCGGGCTCAGTGTCACAAGAGAACCAAAGGGTTCATGAGTCCAGCAAAAGAGGTCCTCCATGCAAAAAGCTTCATTAAGGTAAGCAGATTGAAAACTGACTTCATGGGGTCATGTAATCATCATGCCTGCCTCTCTGCAAGTATCAGTCTTGTTTCCTTTATTGTCACTATTGCTGTATTATTTTACTCTACCAGACTTGGAGAGTAAATTAGGAAGCAAATCATCCTCATAGTTGTGGCACTACCTCCAAAGTCGTGTTCACACTTCCACACATGCAGTCTGCCTACTCTTTGCACTCCCAGAGACCATGCTCTTCTGCTTCCTCATTCGTTTTTGCACACCTGTTACTTTCAGCCCAGAAAGGACTCCACTGACAGCCCCATCTCAGATCCCATCACCTCTGCGTAAGGAACTGCCTGAGCAAAGTACTGGGGAAGGTGGGAAATAAGAACGAAAACTGTACATTTGCAAAGGGAAGACCAGCAAATGCAAAGAAAGTCCATATTCACTCCTACTGGTGTCACTGAGGCATAGGTGGTGTTCCTCTGGTGGCTTGATGCATGCTGTTCCCTTCCACTGCACACTGAGACAGACAGACAGAACTTCCTCCACCCTTGTTGAGCAGAACTAGGGGATGCAGGAGGTCAGCAGAAGGGTGGACACCAAAGTAGAGAAATCCATCGGCAGACAATAATTAATCTGGCTATTCAGGTTCAGAGAAACAAAGATCTCACTGAACAATTCTGTGCCCTTGAATCAAACACACAGCTGAAGCCTGCCTTTCTGCACCGGTATGTGGCAAGAGAGGCAACAGCAACCTGGCAGTTGTCAGGCCAGGCCACAGGGCTAGTGGTGCTCTGCAGTTGTGTATTTAAGACACCTGGGAGGCGTGCCATGGACAGCAAGTCTGCAGACGCAGAGAACCACGAATCACAACCGCCAGTTTAAAGTGCAGGTGTAGCTGCAAGCTTTGTGTCTCTTCGTGACAGATTTCAACCCCTCAGTCTTGCTTTATTGAGGTTTCTGTTGGTAAAATATTTAAACAGTAATCTCCCTTCTTACCAGTGAGAGCTTAAGAAGAGCTACAGTTCTCTGCCTTTGAAAGAAGATGACTGCTTGAGCACATACCCATGCCCAGAAAACCCCTGTCAGCAACCCGAAGCTGTTCTGGGTTTGTTAATGTCCATAGACTGCCAGCATTTATCAATGCTACATGACTTTTAAATACTGATGACACCTGTAACATAATTCACCATCAAGTAGATAAATCTGCTATAGTGCTTTACCGGCTACAACTGCTTAAGCTTTAGAAGAACTAGTGGATCTAAATGCAAGACTCAACTTCTATTAAAAGATTACTAATGAGAATTACTTCCCAATGAAGATGAACAAAACAAAGAGGTAGGGTTTGAAAACAGGTTTTTATGCAGGAGAAGCCATGGGGAGGTGACTAGAGCTAACAGCCTTGCACACACACACACACACACACACACACACACAGGGTGAAGAGCAGGTGCAGAGCTGCAGACAGTGTTTTACCATGGAAGTGAACATGCTGCTGGACATGGAGTGGCCCTCATGAAAGAACTACAAAACAAAAACAGACACCAACACATCAGACAGACAGCCATGACAGAACAGGACACAAACAAAGTTAAGTAACCCATCTGTGCAAAGACAATAAACATGGAATAAGCTCAGGTACTCCGGGGGGGGGAAACTGTGACAGCCCCTGACCCCTTGCAGTACTGCACTTCAGCTGACTTCGGGGCTGCTGCTGCCGATTCCCAGGGTCACCACGAGGCAGACCCCACCGTGCCAGGAGCCTTCTTGGTTGTGGTACAGCCACAAGCTGCCCACACCACCTACTGAGCTCCAAGCATGGCCAACACAAACCACCACAGTTTTAAGATGCATGCAAAAGCTTCCCTGTGACTCAGGGCTGTGAAAAAACCCCACGCTCTCCCCTTCCATTCCCCACTCGTTGCAATGTCAGCAGCTTCTCTTTGCACAAGAAGGTCATCTTGCTGCAGAAAATCTGTGGGCTGCCAACTGGGTGGGCAGTGCCAAGCAAACACCTGCAAGGCAAAAATTTTTGCCCAAATGTGGATGCAGCACCTCAGACTTACAGCACTTTTCTGTAACTGCCCGCCCCAAGCAATGCCTCCTAATTCAGTGTTAATGGTTCAGACGCAGGCAAAGGCTTGATGTTCAGACTCAAGAAACAACAGTGGCAAACGAGATGGCCACAGTCGCTCAGCACCTGAGCTCTGGTGCAGAGAGGTGCAAGTACTTGAAATGTTGCTTGTATCACAAAGTTGATTCCCCTCCATCAAAATGGCATTAAATCAGTATGTAGTGAATTATTCAGAGAATGCAGTGAGACGTGGCAGGAAGCAGCATGAGTGGAACGAAAACTAAAGGAGCTGACTCCTCCTTTGTGCCAAATACTGCGTTTCCATCTAATGCAAAAGCAATGCAGGAAACACCTTTCCAACCTCAACAAACCTCCAAGTGTTTCAGCTCAGGCCCACCTATAATGCTGCTGCCTAGTGCCTAGTCCCTCTTCCCTCCCAGAAAGGCCCTGAAGTCAGACACCCGTTGTACCACTGTGAGCCCTGCTCGGACTGAACACCCAAAGCCACTCCAGGGCCGGTGGAAAGCAGCTGGCAGCACCTTCACAGCCCCAGCCGCACCACGAGCCTCGGCCATGACCATGCTCAGGCAGCGGCATGGCTCAAACACGGTGACTGGGTCTCGTGAGACAGACACTCCATGATTCACAGGCGCCTTTGCTTCCCTGCCTCATCATGTCCCACCAAGGATCATTAACTGATCTTTATCGTCACCATCAAATGGTCCGCGTCAAGACCATGCAGAAATGCCACTCCTTTCTGAGGGCTTATTGAGCAGTTCTGTTTCATACCATCAAAGGAGAACACCACATACTTCCTCAGAAACTTATAGAAATGGGCCCAGATTGAATGAATCATGCTTGATAAGCTCTCAGAAGACAGTCTTTTTAAAATACGCTTCTAATACAGAACCACAGCATGGTTTGGGTTGGAAGGGACATTTACAGATCATCTAGTCCAACCTCCCCGCCGTGGGCAGGGACATCTTTCACTTGATCAGGTTGCTCAAAGCCCCGTCCAGCCTGACCTTGAACACTTCCAATGATGGGGCATCCACAGCTTTGCTGAGCAACCTGTTCCAGTGGCTCACCACCCTCATCGTAAAAAATATCTTCCTTATGTCCAACCGAAACCTACCCTCTTTCACTTCAAATCCATTGCCCTTTGTCCTAACAGGCCTTGGCAAAAAGTCTCTCTCCACCTTTCTTATAAGTCCCCTTTGTATACTGAAAGACCACATGAAGGTCTCCCTGCAGCCTTCTCTTCTCCAGGCTGAACAACCCAGACTGAACAATATGAAGCTACAATATGATCACTACCTTCCTATTTATCTCGAGCAAAAGAAAATTACTAATTGAAACATTAAAAAAGAGAAAGCAAAAGCACTTATAACAAAAATATCAGCCACATTCATTCAGAATATTTTGGAAGTATTTCCTGTATCTCTCCAGTTGCTGCATACTTTAATGTACTGAACTTAAAAATATATATATATATTCTACCAGTAATCATCCTCCATTCCTGAAGAAACAAAACAGGAAGAAAACAAACCAAGATTTCTTTACCAAGTGTATCTTTTCCAAAAGGCATGTGAATCACATTAGCAACTTGTGCAGGCTATAAAAATGCACAGTTTGCATGCAAGTTTCACTTTGTACATCTGACCTTTCCTTACCTCAAGATGATTAAAGAGCTGTTTTAAAGTTGATGCCATGGATGCATTAGAGTTTGTTCAAGTTCTTCTATATTCAGCACGTAAACAAGAACAAAAAAGGGAATGTATTTTTGGAGGAAACATCCCTTTACTGCTTTCTATTTGGTGATCAGCTTTAAATCAATGGATCCTTGGAAACTTCTATCATTTACCAAGACATTATTTGGCATTAAAAATGGTCTCCTAAAATTAACACACAAAAATCTAACATAACAGTACCAGAACAGCTGCATTTTCTGATGAGGATTGATGGAAAACCCTCACCTGCTTCATCTCACTCTTCAATTTAGTAATACCACTTCTTTCTGTTTTGGTTGCTCCAGAATGCCCCATTTCATGAATAGAAATTGCAGGGCTAGACGAAGAGGAATCTACAGGTCGCACTAAAAGAAGCAAATGGACATTTTTAAAATGCTAGGGGGTAGAAAAGCAGATGACATTTTAACTAGAAGTTAAAGATAAAAGCATATTCTTTCACAAGTTTACAGTGCCCTTGGTGACAGCATCCTTTCAAATCACGTCAATAGTTTAAACCTGATTGCATCAAGTCAGGGGCGTAGATCCATACTTGGATACTGGGACCTGATGTTCCAAAACATGGAGCACTCATCGCTTCAAAAGACATCAGAGTTACAACATGTCTGTGAGTGCTTAAGAATGAAGCTGGGAGACAGCTGAAGTGCCAGTCGGGAATACATGACATGCTCCTTGAAGGCAGATTGGATATGCCCTTTTTATGGTCTTTATTCTAGTCATATAAAATGTCTTCATTATAAAAGTTTGCCTTCATATCACTGAAAACTTGATAGAATCTTATTTCAGTGCAGATAGCTTCCATGGTATGTGTTTTGTTTATTCCACAGCAGACATACACAGGTACCAGCTACCCATGATTCAACTCATCAGCTATACCTCTATTTTACATGCCAAGAGAATAGATTCCTACTTATAAGACAATCTAACTTTGTATTTATAGTTCTCACTTAACATATACAAGTACCTGAGGGAACAACTTACAGCTTCTTTCCACACCAAACTCTTTTCCACTGAGAATATGGTGTAGGAGATTTTTCATATCAAAGGGACTTAGATTCATCAAACTCTCTGAAGCTTCTTCACCTGGTTAAAAAAAACAAAACAAAACAAAAAAGGACAAACATCACTATAGGTTGCTCTATAGGTTTATTTTCCTAAGTTAACTGCTGACTGAATGAAGTTCAGTCATGTTTCCCTTGTGGCTAGCGCTTCCTTTAAAAAAACCTAATATGTAGAGTCACATTTCAAAGAAAATACATTTCAAGACTAAGCAACCACTGCATGGAAATGACACTATTTGCATTAGTGAATAGTATGCTGCACCTTGTGCGAAATCTCACTGAAGCTGATGATGACAGCATCATCATCAGGAAGCATCCTTTGCTTCCTCCTTTGGAGAGCAGGATCGTATGAAAAGGCATTACACCCATCGCTCAACAGCAGAGATCTCAATTACAGAGCTGGAGTTATCCCATAAAGAAATGCATGCATGTGGAAGGTTTGTATTTTGTTTTTTATTAAAGGATCAGCTTGCAAGTGAGAGAGAGAAAAAGCACATACATACACATGAGCACACGTGTGCACACAGACAAATCTCCCATAGGAAAATGTGGGAAAGGCAGCCATGAAGCTGAGGGCAGAGTACAAAGCAGCTGGCATTTGAGGCTACAGAATAACAAAAGGGACCCCAGGAAAGAGAGGCTTTGCACTGTAAATAAAGCAGCTTCTGTTACTCAGCTACAGCTTTGGAGGAAACAGGGCTTTCTGTGCACTCTTCATACAGAAACAGAATTATCCCAGAAAGTGACTTGGCTCCTTTTGTCAACTACTCATGAGGTAGAAACCTGCCACTCCCCAGTGGCAGCCACTAGAGTTAGTCAGAGAGCAGCAGCGTCCAAGGTGGGCTCTATCTAACCAACTACCAGGGACCCCCACTTCAGTCCAGGAGGGAGAAAACCGGGGCGGACCAGAAAATGCAATTCCACAAAGTTATCCCCTTTACGGTGTGCTAGGGCATTAGAAATGGTAACAAGAGCTAAGCCACAAAATATGGCCCAGATATGCTCCTAAGTGTCAGCATTTGACTACATAGTTGTCACATTAACTTGATTACTTTTCATGACTTCTCCTTCTTAGACTTCTGACCCCTTTAAATTCCACTGATGTGGAAAATTTTTCAATGATTTTTCAGATCTCTGTTCAGTCATGATCCTTCTCTGCTTTCACTTTTCTTGTCCAAAATGAGTTTTAAATATTTTTGCTTTGCACCTCCTGTTTGTTACTTAACTCTTGTTTTATTGTATGCATTTTATTTACAGAATCACAGAATCACTAA